TGGGCATGACAATACCATGCCCGGTATATAATCTCTGGGGTATTAGATAGATATGAGACTATAGATACACGATAACTGAAGATAGATAGGTTCAAAGGATTGGATTCCCCTGTATCATCTGGGGTCTACGACGTAGTAGCATAGTACGTCTGTAGTCGATGAGTCGAGTGAATTATTATGAAGATAATAGACTCATGGCTAGCTCGATATTAGGCCTAGAGGGTCACACACATGTAGCAGGTGTTGTGATGAGTAGAGGTTCGGATATGAGATATTCACTAGAGTTCATATCTTATAGGATATCCAATAGACTCATGAATTATCGGATCTTATGAATGAGATCCAATAAAAGCCAATGAGAGATTATTAGATAGAGACTCACTAATATAAGAGATTTAGATAGTTAGATGGAGATCCAATACCCAATAAGGCAAGGTCCATTGAGGTTAAGTTGATATGAGACCTATATAAATAGTATGAAACTAAAGGGTCATATGCTAGACCTATTTTGGCTATCATCTCCTATTCTCCTCCTCAACTTGTAACCCCTATTTGGGGCATGTTGATAGCTAGAAGGGTCGACCTCTTCTTAATTGCATAATATGCTCGAGGAGGAGATCTGTGTAGTGATTTGAGAAGCGTCTTCGCAACCCCTATCATATGGATCACCACTAGAGAGGAGGACAGTTGACCTTCTTCATCCTCCCCTATATATTTATAGGAATTCAGGGATACACAATCTCCTTAGGTAATATAATTTTCTTACGTGTGTAGTTTTTCGGTTTTGCAGGTTTTTGTGCATCAATCTTTGCACAACGATGAAACGTTTTTTTTTATGAAAAATTCTGGAATTTTTGTTTTTATTTTTTCGCTACACATGTGATGTCGCTCCAGATTTCCCAACAGTTGCAACCACTTATGACTAAGGCAGGTTGGCCGTCGTCGAATGTTATAATTGATGGTGCTTTCGTTGCATATATAGTCGTTGCTTATGATTAAGCTGGCGACCATTGGATGTTGCTACCCTCAATAATACTATCGCTGATAATAAGTTATCGATAGTGATCAATAAATCAATCATGAGGAACTTCACATTGCTTGTAAGTATGTAATAGAATAGACTAAATATAAAAGCATATTGACAATACATTTATATTGTTTAAACATCATAAATCAAAACCAAATAATACCTTTTTATAAGCTACTAACAAAACATAACTATATAAAATATTTATGATATAGTTATGATATAAAATATTTTATTTCAAAACATAACTCTGATATTAATTATAAGCATAAAAATCATCATATACTACTGTTGTTATATAAAAAATATTAATATAAAAAATAAAATCAAATAATAATAGATCAAGTTTATGATAGGTATCTTTTGAAGCTACTTAAAAGCCTTTATGTGATCTATAAGCGCACTGTCATCATATTCAAATACACTGCAGAGATACCGATCTATAAGAAAATTAGATTTGTCTTATTCTATCTTCCTATCTTTCATACGACTGTTATGAGTTATGGATTCAGGATAAAGAGAAGATGAGAAAAGATTTTGAAGCTCCTAAATTTTGTTTTGAATTATTATTAGTAGCACTTTGAGATTTCTTTTTTTTTAACTAAAATCATATACCACATAGTAGGAAAAAAAGGATAACCAATAATTTCAATCTGATAAGGATTATACTATCAGTCAACTATCATCCAATATATGATCATTATATGGTGTCCAGGGTGGAAGAAGAAAATAGAGGTTACCCTCTACCCATCCATCGACATGAATAAATATCTAAAGCAAAAAATTATAGATTATTCCTCCCTTGTCACCCATATAGATAATAGGCTAAAAAGATATTGTTGGAGGCAATCGGAGGCTGCCCCACCAAAGAATATTTCATGGACTATTCCACATAATGAAAAGCTCATCTTTAACATAATAAAAAGGAGAGTACCTCGAGAGCTCAATGTTTTCACCTCGGACAACCTTGCACATATGGATCTAGACCATATTGAGCTGACCAGAATGTTAATGACAAATTTCATCAATTTATTCATCTTTACAAATCACGCAAAAGGTGATAGAACTAAATAATAATAATATTATTGTTCGAAGCATAACAATGCGACTGACACATCGACGTCAAACGATCGACACCCGATCAGCACCACATGGAGTAACGGGACAAGTATTATGACATCACAAGTTCAACAAACCATGATTGCGGAGAAACCTGAAAGAAGTGCTAGCGCTTACTATGAAAATAATAACTAATGAAGTCCATTGTGAAATAACCCCTTGAGTATGTTCCTAGCACTTAACTCTCTATCTTAAATGCTACCCAAATCATCTGAACCACTTATTAACTTGAGCATCGAAGGGGTATTGTAAAAAATGCCCTAATGCAATCTCACATGTATCGGCACATATTCATTTGGTGTTGGAAAGGTTTGACTCAAGATTGACTTAAAGAAAGGATCTCGACTCAAACTCCTAATCAATTTTTAAAATAAGTTTTAGAAAAAATAATAAGCAAAAAAGTTTAGATATGTCAAATAATAAAAATTACATCTATTTACAATCATAATTTAGTTGAAAACATCCTATGGCTAATTATATCACTTTGAAGTTAAGTGCATTTATGTCATCATATCGAATTTAAAATTGACATCGCTATATAATAATATTTAATAAAATAAAAATATATATTTAAGACATCAAGCTGACATATTAAAGGAAACATTGCTTTCCTACAAAAAAGGTTGTGGAAACTTTGCATCGGAAAGCGATCACAAACCCTAAAACTCATCAGATTGGGTAGAAAACTACACAAGTCATAGTGGAACAATAACAAGAGTTTCTATCAGGAGCATGCGAGAGGAGAATCTTTTTAGGTCAATGAGATCGCCAAGAAGAGAAGCATGCAAACAAAAATATCTTGTAGTAAACTTTTGATCTGGCTTTTGGTGACCTTGGAAAGCCCTCTTGCAGTATACGCATCTTCCTATCCAGTAGAGTCAAACCATGTTATCTTTATATGCATATTATATTCCATTGCATGTTTGCAACATCATAATCCGATCGTTTGAGTAGCTGCAAGTTTTAGATTCCTATCCATCAAAGGAGCCGAATCTGTTTCCGCATGGAAGAAGAGAAGTGGGTGTCATTTCGTTATTATTTTTTGTTTTGCTACATATATTTTATGTTCAAGATGAGGAATAACAACAAATAGTTTATATACATTGTCTTATAAAGATAAATATTTCTGGCTTGATCATAATTTTCTTTGTTCTCTGTGAACGTCATGAACCTTTATTTATTTTTATGAATTATGATACGATCTTTTCAGGGTAATCTTATGAAAATAATGATTTATTTCTCATGCATATTTCATGATATTTCTTTCTAAAATAAGATAATATTAAGTTTAATTTATTTATTATTCAAGAGTCTAAATGTAGAATTTTGGTGCACCAACCTGATTTGGTCTGATCAAGACCTAATTCGACAGCATCATAAAATAATTTATGGAGATTCATTTCTAAGCCATATATTGACTATCTACCGAAGAATATCGTATGCGTTATCATAATTATATCCACATTATTTACATTAGGAGCTCAATTTTGTATAGATTATTTACATTATCTTTGTCCTCGTAATGATATGACTGGAGTCATAGAAATAATTTTATTTATAGTGATAGCACAGTATATATAATCTATACAAAGACGATGGTTTCATGTATCAGTATGTGAAAATGATAGATTGGAAGATGGCAATGCTATCGGCATCTAAATCATTGAACTAATAAAGAATGGAATCAATGATGTCAAGTACATTTGTGAAACATGAGACGATTAATCTATATATTAGTAGGTCTGATCTGTAGCCACCATTAATGCTCAAGAAAACATTAATTCCATTGTGAAGAAGACCTTTCGGTATCTCAATTTACTTCAACTGTTAAGTTTATTTATGATACACGAATGCAACCACTAATATTTAGTTGAGGTTGGACTTTGATGTGACCTAATACTTTTATATTATTTATAAAATATAATTAATTATTAGTAGAAAAAATAACAGTGCTACCAGCTCACCCCGTCAACTAAGTTGAATAACCCATTTAAGCAAAGGCATTAGCAACTCACGAAAACAGTCCGTCAGACTCTGCTTGTCTCGACCTCGAGAAAAATAGCCAATAAGGCTTGGTAGAGAAGGCATTGCTTTCTTGAATCGCCAGATTGTGGGTTGTCACGTGTAATCGATACGCACAAAAGAGCTCGCACCATCCCTTCATGCGATTGCCAACCAGAACATGATCCCTGTAGAAATCACAAGAGTCGACCATCGGTACATGACGACCAGACCCGTCCTCTTAGCTTCCCCTCGATCATGTCATCAATCGTCAATAATCTGTTGCCCTCGACCATATTTCGAAAAAGGTCGCACACTTAATCGCATGGAGCATTAATTTTTGACAATGTGTCCTGACTCTTCGGGTACCTAATGCCAATCCTCATCCCATGTCCATTTCAAGCATGTCATACCCTGACAGACGATGTGCCTCTAGTTGTTCTTCCTTGACATAACAAATAAGAAGACGTGTTTTGTAGCCATCGACATAAATAAACCTTTGATGGTACGAGAAGCTCAAAGAGGGGATGAGCAGCCAACCATCCTTCATCGATAAAAATTAGGTATAAAAATCGGTCCTCGAAACTAGACGGGACATGCAGACTTAACATAAACTCTCCTGAGCTCTACTAATCCCTTTTCACTTTTTCTACTAACTTAAGTGTCAGAGGGGTCAGGTCGGGATATCCCCCGACGTATCTAAGAAGCATCTTGGGGTGACGTGGTGCATCATCAAACAAGACCAAGGCATATCTCGGGACGACTCTAAACTTCCTTTGGTGGACAAATCAGACTTTAACATGATTGCACTAGGAGCCATCAAAGCTTTAGGAGTCCACCTATCACCTTAGCCTCATGCTCCAATCACACCCTCACGATTCACTTGGGCTTCTAGTACAAGAACCAAACCGTACTGCCACTCTAGTGAATGGCAGAAGGTAACAACAATTTTCTATCTACCAAATGCACCAATGTGTAATGCTACTTAAGTTACTTG